GTACACTTCCCCCCTCCGCCAAGGACAGCACGGAAGGTGACCCAGCGGTCAGAGAGCAGACACTCAGGGAGGGTCTCTGAGGTGGTGGAGGAACACAAGTGAGCTTTCACACACGTGTGCTGCTCCAGCTGTCCTCACGTGGGTGGTGTCGAAAGCCTCAAGCTGAGCATGTAAAGGTGTCTGACAAAAGTCAATGGGAATCAGAAAGGCGACCCAGCCTAAGCCTCATATTATGCCTAAAATTGAATTTTCAAGAATAAATAGCGTACAACCAGGCAACCAAGAACACAAAGACACACAGCACACCAGGAGCACATCCCAACAGATAGACCAAGCAAGAGACACAGATCCACAAGTAGACAAATTAGTATTATTGATTACAGATGATATAAGCATTACATTTAACGATGTTTAAAAACACAGTCTGATGTTTTCTTAAGTGAACAATAAACCAGAAGGTAAGCAAGCTGTAGTTTCTTAGCTGTGACCCCAAAAGCAGAAGACAAAGAACAAAAGAAACCACAAATAAGGTGGACACGATGCACACGAAAACTTCTGTGTTGCAAAGCACACTATTCAGATGCAAGGACAACCCAGAATGGGAGAAATGTCTTATAAGTCATATATCTGAATAAGGTCTAGTATCCAGAATCTATACAGAATTCTTACGATTCAATAACAAAAGGCTAAATAAGCCAGTGGTCTACCAGGAATTGCCAGAAGCATGAATCTATTTGTCTTGCAGGAAGCACAAGCCAGAGGCAAGGAGGGCAAGACTTCGTTTCAAATACTTTGGACGCGTTATCTGGAGGGCCCAGCCCCTGGAGAAGGATGTCACGTTTGATAAAGTAGACGATCAATGGACAGGACCCTCAGTGCGACAGAATGGCACAGTGGCTGCGACAACAGCTTCTAGTATCGCAACGATTGTGAGGACAGCGCAGGCCAGGCAGTGTTCGGTTCTTTTGTACAAAGGGTGGCTATGAGGCAGAACCAACTCCCGAGCACTTAGAAACAACAGCGTCAAGCCCGTCACGAAACAATGCCAGCTTTCTATAGCATGTGGGTTTAAACATCGTTAAGCAGCTATATTGAGTCTTCTTTGTTGTTGTCGCTGTTCATGTCTGGGTTTGGGGTCTATTGTCTTTTAAAGCTGTATATTAATACGGGCCAGAAGTGGTTAACGGAAGACCATTAATATAAAGCACAGCCAAGGTGTTCCAAGCGAGCACTTACGCTCAGCGGCTTGGGTGGAAACATAATCGGAAACAGACTGTGAGCCCTGTTTTCATATGTCCCAGGGAAGCAATCTGAGACACAACTGTGTTGTGAACACAACAGACTGCAATAATTTACAAAATCAATAACTTCGCCAAATGGCTCCCAAGATGTTAAATGAATTGTCCAAGGCCACCCTGCGGTTAGTAAATTGTGGGGCCATGATTTGGGCCCACGCAGGCTGATGTCAGAGAGATTCCAAATTGTGGCACTACACAAGCAATTACTAATCCCTGGTCAGGCCTCCAAAGCTGTCCTCTGGCGTGTGCAGGGCCAGGTGACATGGCTGGGTAACCAGTACCTGCTGACCAAAGCTTGTATTGATGCGCCTACAACCACATGGAGACGCCAGGAAGTCGTTCTTCAGAGCTGTGCATTTCCTCCAGACATTGGCTCTAGAAGGGGCTAGAACTGTGCTGATGCGGCTACGGTGGAGAAGGTCCAGTGTAGTTGGTCTAGTTAGGGATGTGCTGAAGTTCTGCAAAATTTGGGGAACAGAAAGATGTCTTGAGGTACAGCAGCCTCTAGAGTCTCTGGTATTTTAGATTCTTAAAGTAGAAACCCCACGTGGTGGCTGTTGGTTTCCCAAGAACTAGAAAGTGTGGACTTGACACTTCTCCCCGCAGTTTAGCTTCTTGGACACTTTCAGATGCTTGAGTTGATGGTGAGAAGACGGACTACTACTGACCAGGCTACTACGGAGGGGGTTGGCTGGACTTGTACATTTGGAAAATTTTCAGAAGAAAAATTGCACTCTCAGTTATTTCTTCTATGGAGGTCAACAGGTATCCATCCGAACAAGAAGTAACAGGTACCTGTCCAGGGATCCAGTCCAAAATGGGCTGCCTCCCTTTGTCACATAGAAACAGTGAGGGACCATGTCTAAATGAAAGGGTAAGTTAAGGCCAAAGGCACATATAAGTGGCGACTTCCTG